TAGAAGATTACTATAGCATCAGCAAAAGGGTGGCAAGTATCATAATTAAGTTTGACAAAAGGTACAAGATGAAGGTGGTACACGCCTATGCGCCTACATCGAGCCATGATGCTGATTTGGTTGAACGCTTTTATGAAGACGTAGAGTTAGCCAATAATAAAGTAAAGACACAGTATACTACTATTAAGGGCGACTTTAAAGCCAAAGTAGACCAAAAACAGGCTGGAGAACATGCGGTGGAGGAATATGGCATCGGGTCTAGAAATGCCAGGGGGAAATTATCAGTAGAGTTCGCAGAACGTAATAATGTACGGATTATGAATACCTTCTTCAGAAAACAGGCTAACCGTAAGTGGACGTGGCGAAGTCCTGATGGCGAAACTAAAATTGGAATTGACTTCATTGTGTGGGCACACTTAGACATAGTACAGGATGTGGAAGTAGTAGGAAACATTAAATGCAGTGACCATAGAATGGTAAGAACTAGTATATATCGAGATTTAAAAAAGAAAAGACAAAAACTGGTACGCGAGAAGCCAAATAATGAACTGGCTGTGAGCAGAAAAATACAGGAATTCAGAGTTTTGTTTCAAAATCAATTTGAGGCACTAAATGAGATAACCGACGTTAGAATTGGCAGAATGAACGATAATTATTCTAGAACCATCAAAAACTGTGCAGTGAAGTTGGAGGTTCAGTGACTAGACGGAAAACTGACAAGCTATCTCAGGAGACAAAAATGTTATTAAGAGATGACAAACGATGAAAGCCTCAAATGCAAATGACGAAATACAGCTTGTGCAGCTTTCGAAATTAATCAATAGGCGTAAAGTAGCCGACATCAGGAGGTATACAATGGAAAGAATTGAGCAGGCTGTGAAAAGCGGCAGAAGCTAAAAGCTGCGAAGGTAGAGTTGTGCGTAGGCAAATACTGAATGTATGCATTGAGAAACAAGGAACAGAATGTCATAACTAATATGGATAAGATAGTCGAGATGGTGGAGGAGTTCTACAAAGAGCTCTACAGAAAGCAAAAGAACCAGGATGGTATTTGGAGAAACTATATTAATCCAAGAGAATTCGGCATCGTACCAGTAACGACAACGGAAGTAACGAAAGCCCTAGAAAGAATGCAAAAAGGCAAAGCCGCTAGTGAGGATAAAGTAACAACTGACCTCCTGAGAGATGGTGGAGAAAGCGTGTTAGACAAATTAGCCACCTTATATACAAAGTGTCCCTTGACGGGAAGGGCACCAGAATCTAGGAAGAACGCCAAAATCATCTTAATCTATAACGAAGGAGACGTCAAGAACTTGAAAAATTACAGGCCAATCAGCGTACTGTCTGTTTTCTAGAAAATATTAAAAAAAATAATAGCCAATACAATTAGGACAATATTAGAGTTCAAACAGCCAAAGGACCAAGCATGATTTCGTACCGGCTGCTCCACAATAAAACACATTCATACTATCCATCAGGTAATAGAGAAATGCGCTGAATACAACCAGCCCCTATACATTGCTCCTATAGATTACGAGAAAGCGTTTGACTCGTCGAGATATCAGCAGTAATACAGGCACTACGGAATCGGGGCAGAAGTGAACTTTACATAAACATACTGGACGAAATATACAGAAGATCCACAGCAAGCATAGTTCTCCATATAAAAAGTGAAATAATCCCTATAAAGAAGCGTGTAAGACAGGGAGGCACGATCTCTCCAATGTTATTTACCGCGTGTTTACAGGAAGTATTCAGGACCGTAGACTGGGAAGAGTTAGGAATAAGAGTTAATGGAGAGTACCTTAGTAACCTGCGATTCGCTGATGACATTGCCTCGATGAGTAACTCAGGAGACGAATCACAGTTCATGATTACTATATTGGACACGGAAATCAGAAAGTAGGTCTGAAAATTATTATGCTCAAAACTAAAGTAATGTGCAACAATCTCGGCAAAAAACAGCACTTTGTGATACGTGGAGAGGCGCAGGAAATTGCTAAGGAGTAAGTATACTTAGGACAGGTAATAAGCGTGGAGCCGAACCATGAGTTTGAAGTAACTAGAAAAATAAGAATGATGTGGTGCACATTTAGCAAGCACTCTCAAATCATGACTGGTAGATTACCACTCTCCCTCAAGAGAAAGGTATAGAACAGTTGCATTTTGCCACTAGTTACTTAGGGAGAAGAAACACGGAGGCTTACAAAAAGGGTTCAGCTTAAATTTAGGACGAGTGGGTCAGGAAAAAAACCAGGGTTGAGGATATCATAGTTGAAATCAAGAAAAAGAAATAGACATGGGCCGGACACGTAGCACGTAGGCAGGATAACCGGTGGGCATTAAAGGTAACTGACTGGATTCCCAGAGAAGGCAAACGAACAAAGGGGAGACAGAGAGTTAGGTTGGACGATGAGATCAAAACGTTTGCTCGTATAACGTGACAACGGAAAGCCCAAGACTGGTTGATTGGCGAATCGTGGGAGAGGCTTTTGCCCTACAGTGGGTGTAGTTAGGCTGATGATGATTATGATGATGATGATGCCTACTGAACCAATATGATGGCATAATGTTACCGGAATACTAAACTCGTTTTGGCACAGCGTTTTATAGTTGTTGCTAACAATAGAGCGACAGCAGTGCGCTGGCACAACTGCGCCATGCGTTGGGCAAAAAACGTTGCAATACTTAATCAATTGCGTGGGCGTATCAATTGAATGAGCATAGAGGCATCATAAAGCATTTACAGATGTCGCCCTTTGGAACAAGCGAGAAACGGAGATTAACCTTCACAGTAACCGCCGGTAAACTGTACCTGCTTCTCAGTCCACTTGATTTTTTCTTTCGGTTGTGAATTTTAACAAAAACATAGCGTGTGGAGGAGCACGTGTGCCAGCCACCCTTTCCCTTTTATGGTAGTGCGGTAGCCCACTTACTAGGACAAGTCTGTCCCTTCCAGAAACGAGTCAATTAAACCTCTTGCGAAGGATGGGGCACCCTGCGGCTGGTACGTGCGATTCCCCTTTCCCGGTTCACGGAACAGGTTTCCCTTCGCTCAGCGAAGGAACGAACCCTCGGCAGGGAGGGGGAACCAGGACGGTGGAGAAAACGAGCGTGCCAACAGCTCGACGCTGACGCTCTCTCAGACACGAGCAGCCAAGCAGGAAGGATGCCCGGAGCTCCCCGCAAGCCAAGGACGATAACTACTGAAGCGTAAGCGTCTATCCTTTCGTTATTTGCTTGAGCGGGATTCCCTTTATGCGACATTTACGCGTTATTGCAAACGCAGCAATAAAATGTTTTTTACCTAGCCTTTTGCCTTATTTGCCCGAACCCGTATAGCTGCGAGGACTCGAGCTACTGAAAGGGGACGTTAATGTTGTACAGTACGCCTGTGTGTGGCTGAAATATCAGCTAAGCTTCTGCGTCAGCCGTACATATGACGCACCTCTACAAACGCTGTTGCCGTTATCTCCGTGGTAATCGTTACAGGCAGCAGTTGTTTATGTTTATAAATGTGCAAATTTTAGTAGCAGGTTCAGATCCCGTCTATCTCGAGTACACGACATGCAAAACTGAAGTTGAACAGCCAATTTGTGTGTTCACTATTCATTTTACAATGAACTTTGCGTATGTCGGCATGGCGCAGTGGTCAGTGTGTTCAGTTAGGAATCCGAAAGTTTCACATTTGAATTCTCGTGGTAACATTTTTTTACAAGTGCTTTTTTCATTGCTTTCTAAACGATTAATATATATTGTCATTTTTAGTGGCAGCTTGCCACGGTGGTGTTGACGTTGTTTCGCGCTCCAGTATTTCCAGCAGTCCAGCATCCACCATACGCCACCCGGCACCATGTGCCACCAATATGTCCAGCACCGTAATCTTCCTCAATGGTGGGTGCTGGACTCCACCATTCCTATGGTGAACGTTTTTTAAATAGGAAAGCAATCCCGTAGTCAGAATGTATATTCAGGGAATAGGCCGGGGTGGGCACCTGTTGAAAGCAATCCGTATTTTCATTATTCATTCTCGTTGAAGCACGCTCTACATAGAAATTTCGAGAGGGGAGGGGGGGAGCTAGGGCTGCTCCTTTGGCTACAAACCTATCTAAAAGTTCCTTGTTAGAGTCGTTCCATAAGTTAATTAGGCTTTATCATTCCCGAAATTCAGTTTCGAGAAAAAAATGAATGCTTACTGGACAATTTCAAGCCAGCAGATACGAGATGAACGCGTGAGCTTTCGGTCACCTGTCGAAGACTATGAATGCTAAACCACCGTGACGGACGAGGACGAATTCACGTGTAGCAAGCGTTCGTGCTTCAGACTTGTGGACTCGCTTTTTCTACAATCAGTTCTGTGCAAGTAAATAGAATAAATTAACACCTACAGTAAGTTTATCCCGAACAATCGTGTGAAAACTACATATGTGGGATGTAAACATTTACAACATTTTAAATACCTCCGAGTGACTTTCTTTGTGTTATCGCAGTTACCTGAGTATTCTGCAGATTGCGTTCCTGCTAAAACACTTTGATATGTATAATCTGTCTTTAGCTGTGACTATTGACATAGACACGATCTCCCGCTAAATTTTATGCTTCTCAGAGTATATTCGTTAGTAGGCATTTCCCACTTTATGCCAAATTATTTACAAAAATTGCCGTAGTATCAACTTTTCCCAACATTTTATTAATAAACAGGCATTTATGCAACTGGAATTATTGTATTATCTGAAAGTAATTAAAAACTAATATTTAAATAGTTTTGGATAAAAAGCTTCTACAAATTTAATTAGGGTTTTTCCTGTATAGTTGCGGTAGATTGCTTTAAAGAATGCAACCCATTATTTCACCTTGACAAGATAAACAGTGCTTATATAACTGGAGTCCTTCAGCTATAATAACAGGAATAAGTTCAGTTTCTTGACTAAACACTGCCATGGTAGGCCAGTACAGACAACTATGGTAATTGCGAGCAACAGATGTGGCTTGGTACTTACGCCTTGAAGTTATGTACACCGAATCAAATGGCATCTGTGATTCGTTACCACTCGAGAAGTTATAAAAAAGTCCATTATATTCTCTCGTGGTCCACCTATGAAAATTACATATATTCGCAATAATGCATACATTCATTGCTCCAGCACTTATGAGACAATAAAACTCTAAAGGAACCTTGTACTCGTGGTGCTAAGCTTGAACATCGTGCGGAGTTGAGCTGCCTTGTTTGTTTACCCTCAATTTTATCTTTCTTTGCTCGTCGCTTTCTTTCTTTTTGCTTTTTTTCTTTTTTCTGCTTTCTGTTTTCTATTTCTAATTATATATTTCTCTGTATATATTTTTGAAATTTTGTATTTCTGTTTTATGTTACCTATCTTTCTGTCGCTTTCATTTTTTTACCTATACTTGTCTTTGCCGGGCCGATGAAGTGCTGTGGACATATATTTATGAAAACGATAGAAGAACAAGCGCAAAAAATATGCTGGCACGCGCGCGCCCGATATGCTAACGATGGCGTGGCTATTGTTGTGTTTTACTCCGTTACGCAGAGCTACGACGGCAGCATACAATAACAGCGTACGACAAACCAGCTCCTTAAAGTGCTTCGTACTTAAAAAGTTAACGTGTGCTCAATAAACGATTTCCAGGTGCATGTGCTGTTGAGAGGAAGTCTTCTTGCGCTAGCAGCCCAGATTTCACACTCTGTGCACTAAAATCATTATCAAACTGCTGATGTAAGTGGTCAGACGACTTATCGCCCGGGAGCCTGTGCAATTTTTTGACACCGAATTATTTAGGAAAAGACCGGCGTTACCGTAATATTGAAGCATCGAAATAGAAGACACAGCTTTGGCGCAAAGGGGAAGCAATGAACGCGCGCTTGCGGCCTGAATGTCCAACGAGGCGGAATGTCTATCGAGACAATCCGCCTCGTTGTCCAATAGTGGACATTCCGTCTCGGTGGACATTCCTTCTCGTTGGACATTCCATCTCGGTTGGACACTCCGGCTCGTTAGACATTCCGTCTCGATGGACATTCCGTCTCGGTTGGACATTCAGGCTCGTTGGACATTCAGGCTCGTTGGACATTGAGGCTCGTAGGACATTCAGTCTCGGTTAAACATTCAGGCTCGTTGGACATTCAGTCTCGCCCGTCACGTGACCCATTGGACATTCCGTCTCGTTAGACAATCGGTCTCGTTCGGAAAACGAGACTCCTCAGTATCAGGAATGAAAATGTCATTTGCATTTCTTTAATTGTGAATCACTTTAGGGGGCCGGGCTGTCATTGTATTGGGCTCCACAACACGTGACACCTCTATTGTAGTCCACAACACGTGCCAGCACATGTCGCTCTCGCAAAAGTAAGATTCGCGTGAAACATTGCCTACGCGACTAGCAAGGAATGCAGCCGAGTATGAGTGACCACAGCATTTGTGAACGCGAAAGTTGCAGCCACATGTGCTGGTGCTCGCATACGGCGCTTTCAATAGCCTGGATGCAAAAATGGAGGCCGAAACAGTGTCAGACAAGACAAGTTCACGTTCGCGTATACTCAACGCCAGTAGTGTTTAATTGTTTATTCAAAATGCCTTACATGCCCATGGAAAGGCATTGAGTAAGAGGAGCATCAGTAAATGCACTGCAAAAAATACAGGCAAAAAGTAAAAAAAGAACAAAAAACAAAGAAAACAAATAATAAACAGCAAGATGCAACAAAGTTATATAATAGTAAAATGCAACGAAGTCAGGTTATCACAAAAAGTTTCACGATTGGAGATGGAAACAATGCATTCTGGAAGGCCGTTACACTGGGCTATGGCTCGAGGTAATGGTGATCGGTGGTGGTGGTGAAAACATTTAATAACCATTAAATGGTTACAGCGAGGTGATTGGGTTGGGGCCTTATTGGCCTCCTACCCTCACAGCACTAGGTGGAACCTCTATTCCGGGGCTCCATTGGCAAGCAACGCCGCCCGCGCCCGTTGAACCAGAGCCTCTTGGGCCTTAAGGTCTTGACAGCCGAGTAGGGCCGCCTCCCAGTCCTCTCTCGTGGGATTGGGGTTGGGGGGGATAGATGGAATAGACTGGCACGCCCAGACGATGTGAAAGGTGTCAGCCACCTCACCACAAAACTGGCACGTGCCATCAAAGGATGAATTGAATTGTTTTAGCACCGCCGGGCACAGTACAGTATTGGTAAACAGTTTTAAAAGGAGGCGCTCGTCAACGCGATGCAGTCCCTTACAAGGGTCTGCATAGCGCCGGTGCTCCTCCTTGTAGTAATTGGTAATATCTTTGAATGAAAGGGCCGAATTGTCTGATTAAGAGTAGGCTTCCAAAGACAGGGAGATAGCCCGGGAAGAGAGTGCGCGGGCGGCCTGATCGGCCTGTTCGTTACCCCTGAGTCCTTGGTGACCGGGTGCCCAAACCAGATTTCGCGGAGTTGGATTAACGTATCGGCAGCTAGGTTCCAGTATGCGCTGAGCAAGCGGTGATGCCCACTCTAGCTGATAGTTCCGACAGGCCCCTCGTGAGTCGGTGATAATATGTTTAGAAGAGGGATAGGTGAGAGCCAGAGCGATGGCAATCTCCTCCGCGTGTGTTGCGCTGTAGGATTTGAAAGTGTGCCCGTTTACGGTGTTTGCGTTGTGTATGACTGCGGCAGTATACCACCCCCCATGGTGCGGGCCGGCAACGTCCACGTAGCACACGTGTTCCTCTTGACCAAAGTGTCGCTGCAACGCTTCCGCGCGCGCCTGGCGGCGACCACTGTGGTTTTCTTACGACATGTTGCGTGGAAGGGGTCGGACCCGGAGGGCGTGTCTCCAAGGTTCTGGCACTCTCACCCTTTCCTCAATATAGTAATCGTGTTTGATGTGTATTCGGTCCAAGAGGCGGCGACCGGAATGGGTCTGTGCAAGGCGCGTGTATTGGTTAACGAGGTGGGCTTCTCGAAGTTCCCGGTAGGTATTCACCACGCCTAGGGCCAGAAGTCTCTGGTTGGACGTGGTGATAGGGAGGTCAAGAGCCCGCTTGATAACTTTACGGTGGATGACCTCGAGTTGATCATCCTCGTGTTTGCGTAGGTGCAAGTAGGGAGTCGAGTAGAGTATTCTACTCGTTACGAAAGCATGGGCAAGCCGCATTGCATCCTTGCTTCGTAATCCGCCCCGCTTGTTGGATACTCGGCGGACCATACGGCCCACCTGGTCTCCCACCGTGCGAAGTTTGGCTATTGTGGTGTCGGCCTTGCGTTGGTGGTGTATGAAGAGGCCAAGGACGCGGATCTCCTTGGCCTCACGGATTGGTCCCGAGGGAAGACTGATATGGAGCTGAGTTGTGTCCTGAGGGGAGGGACGTACGTGCACAAATTCTGACTTAGCCGGGGCACACTTGAGTCCGCAGTAGGTTGCGTAGTCGTCGACTACAGTCGCTGCTGCTTGCAGGCATGACTCCATGTGACCCAGGTTACCTTGCGTGGCCCAGATCGTGATGTCCTCCGCGTAAAGAGCGTGATGTATCCCCGGTAAAGAAGCCAATTTGGGGGGAAGATGAAGCATGGCTATATTAAATAGGAGGGTAGAGAGGACCGCGCCTTGAGGAGTTCCCCTCGAGCCGATGACGTAAGGCCCATGTTCCTCATCTTGTATGCGTATGTAGGCTTGACGGTCTGTAAGAAACTGTCTAACATAATTGAATGTTTTATAACCACAGTTGGTCTGACTGAGGTGGTCAAGGATTACCTCATGCTTCACGTTGTCGAATGTCCCTTTAAGATCCAAGGCCAGGACTACCTTGTCATTGTGGGGGCATTCAAAAGGATCTAATATGTCATGGTGGAGCTGTAGAAGTATATCCTGGGCTGACTTCTGAGGGCGGAATCTAAACATGGTGTCCGCAAAAGTGTGCTGTGTTTCTAGGAACTCGGAGAGTCTGTCGCGCACCATCGTTTCCATCAGCTTGCCGACACAAGACGCGAGGGAGATGGGGCGAAGGTTCTCCACGTCAATAGGTTTACCTGCCTTCGGGATGAAGGTCACGAGAGCTGATTTCCATTCAAGAGGGGGAGGAGTTTCTCCGTCCCTAATACTATTGATGTATTTGAGGAGCATGGCGTAGGCTGCGTCGGGAAGATTGGCCAACAGTTTGACCGTAACCTGGTCACGCCCTGGTGCAGTGCCACGCTTCATCTTGCGTAAGGCCGCCTGGAGGTCGTGGAGCTGGAACGGGGTGTCCAACTGCGTGTTCTTTTTGCCTGCGTAGGAGTATGCGGCCGTCCGGGGGTCCTTGGTGGTGCACAGGTATCGGTCCCTGAGCGTGTTTGCCAGCTGTGTTGTCGTTCCTGTAAAGTTGTGCATGACATTATGTAAGTGACGTTGAGTTTCCGTGCGTATTTGTGTTGGATCAATGAGAGCGCGAAACAGGCGCCACGTAATGCGACGAGACATCTGGCGTGCAGCCGTGTTGCACCTGTCCACCCAGTTAGTGTCGGCTAGCTGAGCAGCATATTGCGCAGCTTGCTCCGTGAGTTCTAGGATGCGTTTCTTGAGGCGTCTGTTATGTTTCTGTTTTTTACATGGTTTGGTGAGGCTGCGGCGGGCCTACCAAAGATGGAGGAGGTGGTTGTCCACGTCCGTTTGAGTTTCCGTGAGCTGTATCAGCTGTTCGTGTTGTTTCAGTGTAGACGTCAGTGATTTAGACCAGGTGTCGTATCCCGACTGGAGAGAGTCTACAATGGGTAGAGTGGTGCGGAAAGTTGTCCAGTCTGAGATACGAGCTTGTGTAAGTGGGCGTTTTAAGGGACGCATGTACACGGTTGTGTTTAATACACAATGATAACTACCGAGAGTGTCCTGTGTGTTCAGCCAGTCGGCATGGCGTATGTTGCGTGTAATTGTGAGGTCCGGGCAAGTATCTCGTTGAACAGAGTTGCCTACACGTGTTGGGCTGGCGGGATAAGTGTGGAGGGTGAGTCCAAGTGTAGAAAGAAGTTCCGCAAGCTTCCTTCCACGCGTGTCCTCTCGTGGGTAACCCCATAACCTGCTTGGGGCATTGAAGTCGCCGAGGATCAGGAGGAGGTCCCGTCCTGCC